CAGCCACCCGAGGTAAACAAGGTACAGCCGCAGGTGGGTTGTAGTCCCGCTGACGTGGTGGGACCTTGCAGTGTTGACCAGGACTGGGCAACCGAGCGGCTCTGGAGAGCAGCTGCTCCTGCAGCTGGGATGCAGATCCCTCAGCAGGGGATCTGCTCCCCAATGGAAGGGCCAGGAAAAGGGGGATGTTTTGTGTTTCATCCCAGCCTATGGAAAGCAGGAGGGGTTTCTCATGGCTGCCCGAACCTTGGAGACCCCTTCGTGCATGACCTATGGGCAGAGTTTGCAGCTTGTTGCAAACCTCCCTTGGCCTGATTCGCTGCGTGGTGTGCCAGGCAAGTCAGTTCTGAAGCGTTTAGTCTTGGTCTGCTAGAAAAACAATTCTAAAATGTTTTCATTTCCATTGAATTTGTATTTCCCTTTGCATGTAGCCTGGCACAAATCACAACTGGCGCGTTCGCTGGGATCTAACAACCAGGCGGTGTTGGGTGCCGCTTGCTGTGCAGTGGAGGGGAGGGCCGGGTCGGGCTGCGCTCTTTGATCGCCCCGTAGCGAAACGCGCTTCCCCCGCGGGCCCTTAACAGCCCCCCTTTCCAAAAGGGCCTTCCGCGCTTATTTAAGAACCACCTCGTTCTTGACAAGGCCGCACGTTGTTGCCAAACAAAAAGGTTTTGCAGGGAGAAGAGTTGAGCGCATTCCTTAGGGAACATCATCCTGGAGAGCAGGTGTTGGAGAAGTGAACAGCCATTTGGGCAGGGATTGCCATTATAAATTATGATTGTGCCTGGAATTTGGCGTGACCCTGCCTTAGATCCATGCACAATGGGTTCCTTTCTGCGCTACCTTAGCAGATTTTCCTGTTTTAGCTCTCAAGGTCATGGAAGCGGGAAGGCGAGCGAAGGCGGTGAGTGCGGCCGGGTGGTGGGAGAGCAGCCGCCCCCCAGGGGGTCGAGGCAGCCCCGTCCCGTCCCGGGGACACTGATGGGTGAGGCCGGCGGGCGCTGCGGGGCAGCCGGAGCCCGGCGCCTCAAGGAGCTGCTCTCGGAGCCCGCGGGGTCCTGCCCACCCCCTGCGCAGGCTGCGCCAGCAGTGGGTCCCTGTCAGCCTGATGCCTGTGGCTGGGCACTGTCCCCTTGAGCTTCGCTGCTGTCGGAATGGGAGACAAGGGCTGCAAAGCTTGTCATGGCACCACGGAGCTTGGAGCGCGTTGTGCGAGAGGGTCTGCCTCCTTGGGAGTAAGCAGGGTGCTGTAAGCAGGGGGGCCCGGGAACACCAGGGTCTTGTCCTTGCAGGCCACAGGTGCCTGTGGTCACCAGGACATCCCCATGGGGAGCGGCCCGGCTTCAGCTGACGGCTCCCAGTAGTGGGACGTTGTTTTGGGGCTCCCCTTGCCAGGTCTGTTTGGAAAACCCATTGTCGTGTCCCGGTGTTTATTTGGGCCCAGTGGAGAAGCAGATCCCGTGTGTTTGCAGTGGCTGCATCCACACTGCCCACCCTGCCGAGCTCTGGGCACGGTCAGTCTGGAAACCTCATGAAGGATGGTGAGGAAAAGCTGAGCGAAAGCAGCGCAGGGGGCTGCGTGTTTGCAGCACAAACCGCTGCAAGCGCTGTGGCAGACGGCGTGTTCGTTACAGCCTCGGCCGCGTGCTGCCGCCGAGCGCTCGGGTGCTGCGGTTTCCCAGTGCGCCCGGCCCCGCTGCAGCCGGTGGCCGCGGAGCCGCGGCGTGGGCGGCCTGTGGGGCTCCCCGCGCCCACGTGTGACTCACGGCTCCTTGTCCAGGCCCGAGCCCCGTCATCGGCTGACACTGAGCCCGTTATTTTTAATATTTTATTAGCAAATGTCATGTGCACAAGATAACGTTTTGAAAAGTGGTGTTTACTGCTGATAACATCACTGTTATCTGAGATACGACTGCGCTTGGGGTGACCGGCGCGGGGCTGTCGTCGCGGCTGCGGGTGTGTTCTGGTGGTGATGGGTGTCTCTGCACAGGGGTGCAGGGCTGACAGACCCCGAGAGCACGGGGTGCTCGGGTGGGCGCGGGGCACCCGAGGGTGCTGAGCCCTGATGCGGGCAGCACGAGGGGCGACACTGAGGCTGCCCAGACAAATCCTAGAGGAGGGATTTTACAAAAGCCAGACCTGCTGGTCCCGGGATTAGAGCACTGCTCCTGTAGGGCTGTTGCAGGGACGTTGGCCAGGATGCACCTAAATCCTGCCAGGCACCCTGGTGCAAGCGCTAATGCCGGGGAGAACTGCGCCATCGCGGTTCAGTCGGTGGGTGGTTTGCTCTAAAATCCCCGTGGTGGCTGCAGCATGGGTCAGGAAGGAGTGCGGAGCAAGGGGGCGGCAACTGCCTGCTCCTTGCTCCCTTATCCCGTTATCCCGGAGGGCTGTGGAGCGGAGCCTGTGGCCGAGCGGCTGCCGGTGCCGGGGGCCGCAGGGTGGTCGGTCTCGGAGCGGGTGGGATGGGAGAAGCCCCTGCCCGGGGCCACGGTCTGCATGGCGGGGAGGGAGCGCGCGGTGCCTCCCTGCGCCCCGTCCCGTCCGCGGGATGGCCCCTCATGGCTAACGTGGAAGCTCCCCCCAGCCCTGGGGAGCAGCCGACTTTGCTCTTCTCCGAGGTTGCCCTTGGTTTTCTGGGCATGTTGTGAAATCTGGGCTGTTTGGTGACATTAACTATTGACAAACAGGCTCGAATTACAAAATTACTGCTCTTGCTGTGCAGAAAAAGGCGTGCGTGCCTCGCTAAAGCAAGCTGCGCTAATTAACTTCAAGCACAGCAGTGAAACAACAGCAAACTGCTGCTGCGACGGGGGGGCGAGAGGTTGTTTTGCTCCGCGGGGCGGCTGCCCTTGGCCTTGGGCGCGCGCTGGGGCCGGCACCGCCTGACGTCCCCGCGGCGCGAGTTGTGTCTGCGCGCGCCGCTATCTCTGCGCCTCGCGTCCCCGGGCGAGGTGACACTCGCCACGCGGGGCGCGGGGCGGCCGGCGCCCGCGGGCGCCTCTGCCCCTGCCCGGGAGCAGCCGCCGCGCCGGGGCCGCCTCCACTCACGCGCTCCTGCAAGGGCGCGAGCAAACCCCGCCAAGGGACAAGAGTCCATCGCTCCCAAACGTCCAGTAACAGGGAAAGGAGGAAAAAGACAACACCATTAGAGGAGGGAGATGCTGTGGCTGCGGGCTTAAAAATTGCTGGAAAATAAGAGATTTTTAGCAGAATTTTTTATTTCCTGCTCGCTGTTATTTCTTAGCCGTGTTTTCGGTAGCATCTGAAGTGCCGTGTGGGTCCTGCAGTGCGGGGTGCTCGTGCAGATGGGGCAGCGGCATCGCCCGGGGGGGACGGCGCCTGCCGGGATGGGGGGCCGGGGGAGCAGATGGGGGGGGGGTTGTGGCAGCGGGGCACGCGCGACCTGGGGCAGATAGATAGGCTGCTGCAGGCCGTGTTTCCTCCGTGTAATCAAGAGTCCAGGAAGAGCCTTGGAAATGGAGACTGTCGGGGGAAGATAGTTCAGTGGCCTCTGTAGATGAGTCACTTGTTCTGATTGATGCTGCTGCTAAAAAGATGCAAAGACCCTCAGAAATATTCCTTAGAGCAGAGGATAAAATTGTTGCTCCTGTTATTAACCTAAAATTTAGGCAGAATCTGCCCAGCTCTAGGGTGAGAAATGCAAGAAAGCTGCACTCGTGGAGGATGCAGCTGGCAGCAAGATCGGAGACAGAGAGGAATCTCGTTTTTGATCTCACAATAACAGCACCGCTTTGTGCTTTACTTTCGTGGTTAGAGTATTGGAGAAAGAGAGGCTTGCTCGCACGAACGGTAGATAGAGCGGTGAGCGCAGCGCCCTGCGGGGTGGGAGGAGCGGCCGGTTTGCAGCATGCCCTCCGTGCTGCTCCCCGGGACCCCCGGCCCCGTGGGTCGGCATCTCGGCCACAGGAGCCGCTTCCCAGCCTGCCCGCGCTCGCAGCTTCTCGGCGTGAAAAGCACAAAAATGGCTCTTTTGGGCTCCTGAGCTGATGAGTGGAAAATATGAAGCTAAATAATCCACAGCGAGCCGCTGCCAGCAGTTAATTCTGATTATTATGTGACAGCTCCTGCGCGTTGCAGCTCTGGACTGGGCTCCTGCGCTCGCTGGCCGCGCGCGGGGATGCGCGGAGGGGTCCTGGCGACGGTGCCCAACGTGCTGCGCGGGGCCGGCGGGGGCCGCGGTCCCAGCTCTGGGCACGGGAATGGACACGTTCACAGCGAATGTGCTGCGTCCTCAGCAGAGCTCTCTGGCTTGATTTAGGAGCCACTTGCATGGACAGTGCGCTAGAGGAACGCTCAGCACAGCGTTGCCGGGTGCGCAAAGAGGGAACGGGCAGAAAACCAGCAAGAAGGGAAGCAAAAAGCAGAGTGACGTAAGGGAGCCTGATGGCTTGGTAGAAAGCAGTTTAAAATAGAAACAGAACAATAAATCCGTCTGTAGTGAAGTGACAACAGTGACTTTAATGGGGCTGGATCGAGTAGTGTTCTGAGCGTGGAAGGCCCTTTCTGGGGCGCGCTGAAGCCCCCCGGCATGTTCACAGAGCAGCGGCGGGCGCCAGCGCTCGACAGGCGGTGCAAGGCCCCGCTCCGCCTCCGTGCGCAAGGACTGGCCCAGCGGCGTCCCTGCGTGAGGGGGAGCGGAGCAGAGTGGGATCCCTACATGAGTGTCAGGCTGCGCGGGGTCCCTGTGCGAGGGGGAGCGGAGCCGAGCGGGGTCTCTGCGCGAGGGGGAGCGGAGCAGAGTGGGATCCCTACATGAGTGTCAGGCTGCGCGGGGTCCCTGTGCGAGGGGGAGCGGAGCCGAGCGGGGTCCCTCCGCGAGGGCTGTGCGGGGTCCCTACACGAGGGCAGCACCACACGGGGTCCCTCATTCCTGGCCAGGCTGTGTGCATCGCGTCGCTCCCCGCTCTCCCAAGCACCGCCGCTGCTCTTGGCCGCCTCACTGACGCCTCTGCCACCCTCTCTGCTCTGCCCCGCAGGTTGGATCCTGGCTGCGAACACGTCCTGCCCATTGACTATTACTTCCCACCTCAAAAGACCTGCCTGATCTGTGGTGATGAGGCGTCCGGGTGCCACTACGGAGCCCTCACTTGTGGCAGCTGCAAAGTCTTCTTCAAACGGGCCGCAGAAGGTAACGCACGGCGAGGACGGCGCCGGTGGCCCCGGCCCGGCCAGCAGCGCGTGGTGCCCACGCGAGCTCTCCGCTAGCAGAGGGGCAGTGAACGCACGAGCACCGCAGGCTCTGCCGCGTCGCGGTGGGTTTTGCTCCCGTTGACGTTAGGCGGCCTTGCCTGCTTTGGGGAGCCTGCCAAGCCAGGGAGACCAGGGCTGGAGGGGTAGGGACAAGTGTGCTGGGTCTAAGGTCCAAGGGGCAAATGTTAAAGGAGAGACTTCATGAACAAACCGATTTCTTTGACCTATGTTTGTTGTTCCATGTTGTAGATTGCCCTCAAAAAGGTAGCCCAAACTGTGTGCCCTACCACAGTGCTTTTCCATGTTTGATTATCCGAGTGACCGCATTCGGCTCCATTCGGCCCGCTTTTCCTATTGAGAACCCTCCAGGGTTCCCTAAACGCCCCCCAGCCCTCGTGGAGCTGAGTCCCGGGCTGTCCCTGTCCCGCTTGCCGTGCAGAGGCTCGTTGCCCTCGGTGCCATCCAGGCAGCAGCTCCTTGCTGTGTCTCTCTGCCCGGCCGTCTGCCCCACGCGTCCCGGGCCGGCCCTCGGCAGCCTGCGTGGGCGCCCCGAGCCCGGTCTGACCCGGGTGCCCGGCCCCGCCGACACGGCCTTTGCGTCGTCTTTCCTTGGTAATTAGAGTATGGCAGGAGTGAGTCCAGTTCTTTTCTTAGGCTGGTGGGTCAATAATTTCAGGTTTTATAAGTACATGTAAGAATTACGATTCCTTGGCAGCAGAGTGAGACTGTTTGCTGTGGAAGCTTAACTGTCCAGTAATATAATATGCTCGTAAATCACACCTCTGACTTGTTTTCTGCAGCATTCGACCAATACAAATCGCAATTCTCCTGTGGGTAACAGGGACTTCTCAGCGCAGCAGAGTGTCCAACCCAGACGCGAGTGTGGTGGCTGTGGCAGCCCCGGGAGAGGGAGGCAGCGCGGCCGCCACTGGGGACAGGCCTGGCCTTGGCCCTCGGGGCCTTGGTCCCTGCCCGACCGCACCGCGGGTGTCCCCTCGTCCCGCGGGTGCCGCCCTGTGCACGCGCGGGTCCCGCGGGTGCCGCCCTGTGCACGCGCGGGTCCCGCGGGTGCCGCCCTGTGCACGCGCGGGTCCCACGGGTGCTCTGCAGGGCTGCAGAGCGGAGCAGGGCAGTGAGGCGGAGGGCGTGGGGCAGCCAGGAACGGGGGCCTGCCCGGCTTGGTGCGAGCTGATTCATTGCTGCAGCACCGTGGGGTCTCGCCTGCCTCTGCCGGAGCTGCCTCTGCGCTAGTTCCAGAACTGGGTCCATTTTCCGAGCTTTGTTTTCCTTGGTGCATCATACATACTGCATGGAGGTCTGGAGCATCAGGCAGGACCACAGGGCACCTTTACACCCAAAACCTCCACTTGCCATGCTAATAGCGTTAAAGGATGCTAGGTCAGGCATGTTTCCCCAAGTAAATCATTTACAGGCGTGTGTCTGTGCCATGTTCCAGCCCTGGGCAAGGCCAGTGGATTGCGGTGCAGCCAGGGTAAAGAACAAGCCTCAGTCAGCTGGTTCCTGTTGATTTTCAGCGAGGGAGCCCTGGCCGCCTTGGTGGGACGAGCTGCCGAGGGCTGTGTCGGGTGGTGATGCCGGACACGGCTGCTCTTGCACAGCACGTCGGAGCTGCCTGCACGGAGCACCCGTGCAAACGGGGACCGCTCGCAGCAGCTTGCTTCCTCCTCGGGTGGAAACATCTGCAGGGGAGCAGATCTCAGCAGGGTGGTCTGGGTGCAGCTTTAGAAGAATCTGCCCTCTTGAGCAAGCAGGACGTGGCAGCCGGGGTGCCGGGAGCCCGGGAAGGCGGCGGCACCGCTGGTGCAGGGGACACCGCGGCTGCGCGCGCCCAGCGGGACAGCGACACGATGGTGCAGGGCCCGCGAAAGCCAACGGAGACGGCGAGAGGAGGAGCCGGGGCTTGGAAACGCTCCCCCATCCCACTCTTCTGGGTCACAGGATTTAGTTCTGGGGGCCACGCCTCTGTGCTCAACTGTGCAGACCTGCTTTTATTTGTCCCATCTCTGCTTTCCTAGCTGGGTTCTTGATTTGGGGCGTGATTTGAATGAGTATTATAAAGAAATTAATAGGGAACAGTATCTTTGGATTTAGCATTGTCATGGGGTGTAGACAAAGGCAAAACTCTTCATGGGTTTGTGCCTCTGAGCCTTTGGCAATGAAATGCAGTGTAGATGTATTTTATGTATTGAATAATTACAGCTAGGGAGCTTTGGATTGCCTCTTATGTTACCCTGAGGTGCAAGGGAATAGCTTTTTGGGGAAAGGAGGCAGTAAATCAGACTCATTTGTAAAAAGTGAACACAGGGTAATGGTAGGTGATGATTTTCTGTCTTATTCTTGGTGATTTTCCAGCCAGACCTTTCCTTCCTCATGATGAGGAACAGTCTTAAAAGCTGGTATTTCGGTGTGTTCCTAGGTTTTAAAGTCTATAAAATGGATCCCTGAAAACCTTAGGGCACCTTTTGACCTGCAGTTGTAAAATGTTTCCAAAAGCTTCACAGATAAGAAAGGAACCTGTTCCTTCTGCCTTTTTTTCCTTTCCTGGTTTTCATGCAAACCAACATCTTCCAAAGGGTGGGAGAGGCGACGGGCAGCAGACTGGAGAGCAAAACAAACACACTGCCTCATAGGCAAGAGAGAGCAGCTCGACTCATGGTTTCCCTATTTTTTATATTTTTTATCGGATATAATATTGCACTTCTCTGGCAGTGATTCAGGGAAGCTTAAGAGGGTTTTTTTTTATTTGCGAGTTCAAGTCCAACCAGTTCTTCCAACAAGATGCTGGAACAGTTACTAGGAAAGACGTGAATATGCAGTTGTCCCCAGCCTGCGGGGTGTGTGGCTTTGGGGGCTCTCCAAGAGCAGGTTGCGTGTGGGTGAGCTGCAAGCCCTGCCGTGCCGCTCAGCCCCAACGTGGACGTGGTAGATGGGCACCAGGTTCTGGTGGTCGTGTGGACCTGCTGATCTGCGTTCTGACAAGCCCCGGATTCTGCAGAGCAGTGTTTTAGGGGCAACTCAACAGTTTCTTGCTGGGTCTCAAGATGATGGCAAGCTTAAAGGGATGGATTCCAGAGGACATCACCAGGTTTTAAAATGCCTTCTCTTTCTGCTGTCCTATCTGACCGTGTGTAAAAGGGTCTGCAGAAAGTGTTCTTGCTAACTTGCCTTGCAGATGGCTCCATCCATCACAGCGGTGCTTCCCTTTGGGTGACCTGGTCAGCAGCTGCCTCTCCGTGTGAGCCCGAGCAGGGCTTGGACCAGGTGACCTCCAGAGGTGCCCTCCAACCTCAGCCATCCTGCGATGAGCTCTCTGTGTGGTTCTGGTGGCCGCTGCTTCACTTGTCACTTAAGCAAATGATCCTGTTTTCTTTTTAGTGTGTGAAGAGGCAGACGTGGCCTTGGTTGGAGCTCAAGGAGGGCATTTTGGCTTTGAATGAGTTGGTGAGCGAAAACATGATGGTATTGACTTATTGCCAGAGGGTCAAACAGTTCCAATGTTATTGCTCATTGGATTTAAGTTTCTTTAAAATAGATGTTTAAGTTTGCATACGCGGGTGGTTGTTTTTGCAGCTTGCAGACTTCCCTGGCTTGTGCAGCCTCTCACTGCCAGGTTGCTTCCCGTTGGGAGCCGCTGTCAGTGAGCCAGCTCCCGGGGCTGCTCCCCGTGTCCCGCTGCGCTCCCGCGGCTGCCGATGGACCCTCGTTGCTGGAGCCCCTTCCCGTGCTGCAGCGGGTGCCTGGTCCTCGGGGCGCCCGGCACTGCGCGGTCCCCGGCGGTGCTGGAAATGCCTGATGAGTAACTAGGGGTGGCTCTTAGCAAAACGGCTTTGCAAGGATGGTTTATTAATAGTGGCTTGTTGCGGGATCCTAAAGCCAAATAGTTTTGTTCTCTGCTTCTAATGGAACATGGGCGAGGAGCTGTAAAGCAGTCCCAGTATCTAACTGGTAGACTCCGCCGTTGCCATATCCCAGTTCATGACGGCAGCTGGTGCTGGATGTTTGAAGGAAAGTGCTAGAAAATGGGCAGATGCCTGTGATTCTGGGCTGAGCATTTGCTCTGTCAAGACGCTCTGCCTTATTCCCAGCAGTTAGATTTTGGTTTATGCTTTGAAACATGAGGATATGATCACTCATCGAAAAGGTATTTAATGGGTTTTCACATCCACATAGGGCTGTAAATCTTGCTGCAGATGTTGGCGCAGATCGCGGTGCGCTCTGGAGGAGGCTGCTGCACTAGGCACAGCTCTTCATGTGGCAACAGGCTCGTGCTTGAGCAACTGCTGCGCGCTGAGCCGCCCGGCCGTCCCTGCAGAGCCTGACTTGCAGCCGGGAACACAGAGCTGCTCTTCTCTTCCCGTGCTGCTCCCGACGTCCCCCCGCTCTCCGGGGACGAGCTCAGCCTGGCTCGGGGTGCAGAGCCCCTTTCTGCCCAGCGCCAGCTTGAAGGGAGGGGATGGAGGTGTCCGGATGGATGGCAGCACGTCCCAGAGCGCAGAGGTGGCATCTGCGGCGATGCTTCCTGCACTCCCGCAGAGCAGGAGCCCGAGTGCCTCCGTGGCCCGGTCTATCCCCGGGACCTGGGGCATGGTCGGGGCTGTGGAGGAGGAGAGCATCTTCTCCAGCTACATCCAAGAGGGATGTCCCAGGGTGGGCGTTCCGGGCACCAAGCAGCATCCCGTGTGCGACCCGCAGCTCGGGAGGGTTGGACAGTGGGGCTGGAGCTTCCCGCTGCTTTGAGGGCTCCTGTCCGGAGCTCGGCGCTCCTCGCTGGAGCGGGACACTCCAGCCGGCACCATCTCTGTCTCTCCTCCATGTTTTCATTGCCCTGGTGCTGCAAAAAAAAAAAAAAAATTAAATAGCAAACACTGCTGTTTTTGCAAAGAGGAGGCAATTTAGCGTAAGTATTGCTTATTGTTGCCAGTTATCTTCTGCGTGGTTTCAGAATGAGCGCAACCTTTCCTTGATGTGTGATCAATCGCCACAGCTTGCTAAATTCCAGGAAGCAGAATTAGATAAGTAGGTAAGGGCTGTTTAGACTAGCTCAGTCTTTTTTTAAATTCTGAAACCTGATAAAATAACTTATTTGGTTTTTCCTGTGTGCGTAGAAAAAGAGACACTGTAAGATGTCAATAGGACTGCTCTCGGTAAGGAAGTGGTTTTGGAAAACAGATGTGGCGAGGACAGAGTAGCTGGTTGTGCAGAGAGCTGGACTGCTGGGTCTAGCAGGGGAACGTGCGTGAAGCCAGACCTGTTTGCAGAGCTGCAGCCTCTGCTTACAAGTAGTATCTCAAACATCTCAATTCTGTGCTGGATGTAAAGGAGGGAAAAAATCATTCCAGCGTTACACTCGATAAAAGAGAAAATAATGCATTTTACTTTAAATAAAGAACAGTTGATTGCAAATTTGTCAGCTTCTTCTTAGATGAAGAGAGTAAATGATGGTGACATTTAAAAAGTGCTCTGCGTAGGAAACGGTTCTTGGTCTCCAAGGGCCGTTGTGTGCAGTGGCCGCTGTGGCGGCGCGTGGCGCTTGTGGCTCTCACCTTGGCTCAGCTGAGCCGGGTTTTGCCATCTCCCTCCTCCCCGTGGGCTTAGCCTGAACTCCGGGTTCGCTTGTGCAGTGCCAGCCACGTGAGCGCTGCTCACAAGCAGCGTCTTGGGGTGGAAATGTGGCTTTTGGAGGCAGGAAGCAGCGCTGCCGTGACCCTGGGCACGGGGGCCGCTGGAAAAGCTGGTGCCCAGCTGGGCTGCGGGCAAGGACGCAGAGGGCAGCGGAGGGTTTTGAATGTGCCCGTTTGCGAGGACAATGCTCAGAGAGCAGGCAAGCCTTGAGGCAGCCCGGCGCTTCCAGGTGGATCTGTCTCCCTGCCTTCTCAGCAGTGCGAGAAGCGGCTCCCGGTGCTGCTAACCCCAAAGAAAGCTCTGCGCCTGCTGCCCTTGGTGCCCCTGCTGAAGAACCACAGGAGACCTGCTGTGTTCCTGCAGCTTGAACCCATTGCCCATGTGGAGGCTGTGGGTGCCGTGAGGGATGGTGCTGTGGGGCACCATGGGATGGAGCTCAGGATGGCACCTGTGTCCTGGTCTTGGTCTTAATCTTGGTCTGGGTCTTGGTCTAGATCTAGGCCTTGGTTTGGCCCTTCCTTAGCCAAAGCAGCCTGGGCTCCTGCTCTCCGCGTGGTGCATGGAGCAGAGCACCCACTCCCACTCGGCATGTGCCTGCAAAGAGGTCAAGCAGCGAGAGCGCGGCCTCGGCACCCGCTTTCCTAGCACAGAAATAGCTGCCGGTGACCCAGTTTCCGCTGAAGTTGAATATTACTCATCCCTCTCAATAAAGTGCTGAAAAGGAGGAAGGTGCTTGTGTTCCTGTGACTTGGTGTAATCTCTGCTTTGGAGGCTTCTCTGCGTGTCCTCGACGCTGTTAATGAGCAAAGGGAGAGGGTCTCGGAGTGGCGCACGTGGGAACGGCGCTCAAGGGCTCGGGGTGTCGCATGTTGGTGGCCTGGAGCCATGGGAGCAGTTCGGGAAGCTCCGGCGCGGTGCAGCCTGCGGGAACTTGGGCACCCGGGACACGGCGTCCGCGCCGCTGGGATCGGGAGCAGCAGGAGCTCCCGGAGCAGCGGGAACGTAGCTGGGAAGCGGGGGGCGGTGGGAAGCAGGGCGTGGGGCTGACGTGACGGTGGCGGGTGCTGTGCTGGAGGAGCGGCACCTCGCCCCGCGCTGCGGCTCGCGCTGCTGCAGCCGGCGCTCGCTGCAGAACACGCGCAGGGCCCGGGGGGTGCGGGCTGGTCTCCCATCGCCTGCCTCTGCACAGTCCGAAACGTGCACCACGCTGCCGTTAGGTGAGAGCGGGCTTCGTCTGGAGCAGTGCAAAACATCAGATAAACCCTGATCCCGGAAACGTGCTTAGACTTGACAGGGAAACTAATTACGAGTCAGGAAGGAAAGTTTCCTCTTGGCGTGTCCAGAGAATGAGGCCATAAAGAAAATCAGGTGAAATCAGGATAAATATCACCCCGGTGGCCGCTCTCCTGCTCTGTAAGCAGCAGGAAGGTGCTGCTCCGGTGGCAGGTGCCCCGGCTGGTCCCGGCCAGGCGAGTGCAGGACTGGGCGCTGGTGCCACTGGTGCCGGTGTTGCTGCTGGCTCCGTGTTGGACCCTGCGGGTGCTGCCGGCCAGGAAGGAGGCAGCGCCGCTGCGCGGGAGGAACGGCGCCCTCCGTCACCTGCCTGCATCCCCATCCTGGGTGCAGGAGGAGGAAGAGTGGGGGGAGGAAGGGTGTCTGTTTGCTGGCCTGGAAGCTGCTCCGGCAGCTCCCGGCATCTGCTTCCCAGCTGAGGAAGAGGCACGTTGGGAAGCAGGCCCCGACTTCCAGCCTCGTGCTGGAGGCTGCAGAGTGGCGAAAGCGGAAAGGTATTTTTGGAAAGACACCACAAAGCCAGCGCAGAAATATGAGCTTGGCTTTGGTAGGAGCTTGGTGGGTCCTTGGCTGGGAGGCCTGGAGGCCATTTCTGCTCGTCCTGCTCTGGCTCACGTCCCCGCTCCATGTGCCATTTCTTGTGATTCTTGCAGGGAAGCAGAAGTACCTTTGTGCCAGCCGGAACGACTGCACCATCGACAAGTTCAGGAGGAAAAACTGCCCGTCCTGCCGCCTGCGCAAGTGCTACGAGGCGGGCATGACGCTCGGAGGTAACCCGCGAGCAGCCGGCGGCCCCGCTAATCGTGCGGATAACTCGTGTCCTTGGCAGCTAATGCCCAATGTCTGGGTAAATGGGGCTCACGGAGCACGAGGAGCTCCAGGAGAGCTCTGCAGTTTCCACTGCCAAAGCTGTGGATTTCATTAAACTTCTGTTTGCACTTCAGAAAATAGAAAACTCTTCCTTAATATAAAATCTTATTAACCAGGAAAAATATATGAACAGCCAGGTAAGCTGGCTTTGCACTCGTACCAAGTCGCTTTGAATACCTCACTCACTTTACAAGATGATTTTTTACTGGCAAAAAGGGGCATTTTTCTTCATAAAAATATGGCAGCGGTATCTTTCTTCTCTAAATGGATGTTGCTGCTGTACCAGTAGGAAAATTCCTTGCTATAACATGGCTCTTTTCCAGATGTATAAAGCTAGCAAATGTGTAGCTATACCAAAGCCTGAAGAACTATCTGCTTCCAAAACCTGAGGCTTTCTAAAGGCTGCGGCCCAGATTGTACAAAACTACTCACATCTCCGTCAACAAATGTCCTTTCCTGACCAAAACCTTGGGATGTCCACAGAGCGCTGCCGCATTCCCTGCAGCTGCCTCGCTTCCCTCTTCCCCAGAGCTTGACAATTCTTTAGGACACGGTGGTTTTTGAGCACCTTTGGGTGAGCGAGCTGCTGGTTTGGTTCCCTTGGTGTTGGGGTGTGGAGGGGAAGGCACTGGAGGAGCTGGACGGTGCTGGGATGCAGTGGCACTGCGCAGTGTGCGGAGCAGGGAATGCATGAGGAGCGGGGAGGGAGCAGGGAGCACGCGGGGAACAGGAGAAGCAGGGAGCATGGGGAGCAGGAGGAGCGGGGAGCATGCACGGAGCAGGGAGCGCACGGGGAGCACGAGGAGCAGGGAGCACGCACGGCCACGCGGCTCGGGACGCGCGGGCGTTTTGATGCAGGTGCTCGTGGCCGCTCTGGAGCGGAGCAGGCTCCGGCTGCTCGTGTCCCCTGCCTTGCGGCAGTACATGCAGGACAGCGGTGGCAGCGCGGGGCTGGCAGCAGGGACGTGCGGGCGCGTGGAGCCTCCGCTCGCCCCGAACGGAGCGGAGGGATCAGGTTCGCAAGGGGCTTGGTGGAGCTCTGACACCAGAGCTCTCTGTGTGTGCTGAGCAGGGGAACACCAGTGCGGGGGGCGAATAGCCCCGCGGCTGGGCGAAGATCAGATGCTGTGTGTGGATGAAGCTGGGAGCAGAATGGGCTGCCAGGGCCTGGTGGCCGGCTGCGTTGTGCATCCATCGGGGCTGCTGAATGTGGCCCTGCTGATGGAAACTTCTGCCCTCCTTCCCTCACATCTCTGGGCTGTGCTGTCCTGTCCTGTCCCACACAAGCTTTGTGGTGCTTGTGGAGGCTCTCCTGGATTTCCAAGCACTACGAAAGGCTCTGGTGACGTCCCGAGGCTGCCAGCTTGCTCGCTGATGTTAGCCAGGGAGCTTCTCTCCATCTTCTTCCAGAGGAGAAGATGGGACATGGGACTAGATGGCAGGAGGCTTCAAGCAGGAGGATCTGGCTGAGCCTCCTGCCATCTAGTGCCATGTGGAGTTGGGCATGAGGAAGGAGGCTGTTTTCCTGGGGACATCCTGGCTCTTGGAGCCTTCCTCTCTGAATACATTCATTCTTGCTGGAGTTCTTGGTGAAACTTGCTTTTAGGGAGTTGTTTTTAGGTGTTTTTTTTGTTTGTTTGTTTTTCTTTTTTTTTCTTTTGCTTGTTTTTATGGCACCGGGTGATGCTCTGTAACTTGGGGTCACCTGGAAGCGAGGACTTTCCCTCCAGGGAAGCCTCAGCACTTCGTGTTCAGTGTCACCATAGGAGCTCTGTTCTTGCGTTGCCACTGTGGTGCCTGGGCTCCCTGGGGCTGGGAAGGGCAGAGAGGAGGCATCAGACCCAGCTCCACCATCCTCACCAACCAAAGGGCTCTTTGTAATACTATCCAAAACAAGCACGTCCTTATTTTTCGTGGTAAAGTTTCCTTAAATAAAAGCAGACATCCATCAATGCAACCCTTCTGTAGGACACACTGACAGAATTAATGCTAATGCTGATTCCACCCCCTCTCCTTTTTTTATTTTTTTTTTCCTTAAGCTCTTTGGGTCACCCTGACCTGTTCTGCTTGGTCTGTTTTGCATTTGTTTTTAATGTTGGTTTAAAAGTAATTGTTAAAAACATGCACGCTATGAGTTTCTCCACAGCTATTTCTCCCACAGCAGAGGCACAGCCTTCGCAGAGGCTTCCAGGCTCCAGCCGCTTGGTCTTAACTGCCTGTTAATTGCCAGGCACTTGGAGGGAGAAGAGGGTTGCCTACGAGCAGCAAAGCCAGGCTCTGAGCACGGTCAGTGGTAGGAGGGGGTGACATACTGGAGCCTTATTTAGGACTCTGCTTTGGCACAGAATGGCAATATTTCGAAGTACTTCATTATTGATTGAGATCACTCTGACCTGAAAGCTGAAATCCATTAAACAGAATCTTCTCTCCTGATCAACCCTATAAAGCCAAAGAGAGGAAAAACATTTAGAAAAGGGTAATGCTGGTTTTCTTTGCTCGGTTCTGCTAGTGCTTTTTCCTCCCTGTCCTGCAGGACCTCTCTGTGCTGCAGGTTTAGGAGCCTGCGCGGTTCTGCGATGCGTTTCTGTGCACATGTACACTGACCGTGTCTCTGCATGGATCCTGTCCCGGGCGGGACACGCACGTCCCTGGGCGCACACCAGGGCTCAGCCGCACAGCTCTCAATTTAAGGCTCTGCTGTTCCTTTGCCCCCAGTGCATTTGATTCTTGGCGTGCAAGGACCCGTGCACCGTTCCAGCTCTGCTCACTGAACATACGAATGCCAATGGTCTGGGTTCCCAACTGGCTAATGTTGGACTTTGCTCTTCAGCCAGCAGCTTCTCCCGTGGACCTGCTGCCTAATTGCAGCGCTCTGCAGTTCGCGGCCAGACTCTCCTCTGAGCAAAAGCTCCAAAATACGCAGGATTCGTTGCTTTCAGGCTAGAAGACTATGGCAATAACAGTTTAGATCCCCTGACAGCCCAGGACGTGAGTCATACCTATACATATTCCTAACTCAAGTCCATTGTGGTTAAGAGAGAGCTCGTGTCTTACAAAAACAAGTGATATTGATGTGAAAGTTTCCAGTGCTGGAGAATCCAACACGCTTTTCGCTGGGCTGCTGCGATGCTTAATTACTTCCACTGCTGCAGTAGTTGGCTCTTGTTTTTCATCTTGTCAGTCCTTGATTTCCACCAACTGGATCATTATTACTACTCCGCTTCCTAGACTTAAAAGCTAGCCTAACAAATTCCTGTTTCCCCAGAGAGTATGTGTAGGCTGTGACTAAAATAACTCCTTCACCTTCTCCTCCATAGCCACCTCGATGAAGTTCTTCCTTGCTCCAAAGTGCGTTTCTTGTCTTTCTCGCTGTGACTTCTGTGGTTTCGGCTCGTCTCCCTGGCAGTGTGAGCGGGTCCCGCGTTCCCTGTGGCTGCACGGGTGCTCCGGGCGGCGCGGAGCCGCCCCTCCTTGGGTTCTCCTTGCTGTCCCCGGGGACCCTGCTAGTCCTGCAGCCTCTGACTCACCGCCAGCTCAGGGCTGTGTTTGCACCTTTTTTTCTGAGAATTCAGGCTTTGTAGGATGGAGCTTTATCCTTCGCAGTGCATGGCTCACAGTTTTGGTTGCTGCATGTACCTGTTTACAGTGAAATGGGATGTGTTACAAGAGCCTGAGATAGCAGCAGACCCCTTCAGTCTCATCGTGACCAGTCCTTTTCTTTCGTTACTGTATTCGCATCTTAGTATTGTCATGTAGACTTCGTTAGTAGAAATATTTGATTTTCTTTTTGAATTAGTATGTGTTCATTAGCAGAGGGCTGAAAACCCTTCATAAGAACCAAACCTGTTCGATAGCGTTTCAGCATTTATAGTTATATTTTGAGATGCACCAGCCAGCTGATAGAAAAACATTTCTATTCAGCAATATCATTTTAGGTTCTGTTTTTTGACTCATATGACCAAATTCAGTCAGATGTCTTAAAACAGTTCTGCTATGCCAGCACTATTAGTTTTATCAATTAAAATTGTCATGCCAAAAAGAAGGCTATCTTGATAGGTTTTGTTTTCAGCAAGCTGAATGTTGATACAAGTTAATAAATAATTTGAAGAGCAGAATTAGTCAAGCCTATTTCAGCTTTTCAGTCATTTTGCTTGAAGCAGAAATCAGACTGACATGCCTATAGTTGACAAAGGCTCTTTGTCATTTGGAGTATAAAAGTAGTTTTATTCCAGTTTCCCAGAGCTTCTCAGGGTTTGCAGACTTGTTAAAATCCACTATTAGTAGCCCAGAGCTTTCCTAGACTGATTCTTTAGAAACTCCTGGCTGAGAATTATCCATGCTAAACTGCTTAAAACGTGTTTAGCTTCTGCACTTGCTCCATAATGTACTCGCTGGTGGCTTTTGCAGTGCTGAATATTTTATCGTGATATCTTAGTATATTGCATTGTCTGGGCTTTTTCCAAATGCAAAAAGAATATGTGTTAAATCAAAAATCAAACACAATTTCAGATGCATTGCATGTGCAGATTGCAGTTGCAGTGCATTCGTTATTACGAGGCTTCCTGAATGATTTTTTTTCTCTAGTAACAGCAAAAGCACATTGATTTTTTTTTTTTTTCTTGTTTTCAGTCCCAGCCGCTGGAATTGATCCCTCCTTAGCTGAGATATCCAGGTCTAGAGCTCTGCCTTGCTCAGCTCCTCTGGACCCCGGAGCAATGAGTGTCTCCCACCGGAGCAGATCCTTTGCAAGCTTCTGTTTGTGCCCACAGTGACCAAGGGAGTCTGTGAAATTAGAAGGGATGAGTCCCGCGCTGGGGCCTGTGGTGATGTCAGAGTGTTCTGGAGATACCTAGACCAAACCTGCTCCTCCCGGCCTGGACCTGCTAAGTCCTGGCTCCAAGTGCTTTTGTTCCCAGGCAAAGGCTGAGCAGTAGCTGCCATCGAAAGGGCTTTTGCGGAGGTGAAGGAAAATTAAGGCAGAGGTACTGGTCTGTGCTATGGGAGAATTGTTGTTTCGGGAGCTGCATTTGTGAGAACATCTATCCGGAGCCCAGTATTTTTAGTTAAAATAAATGTGAAGTAAGATTCCAGTAAGGCCAGGTGGGCTGTTTCAGCAGCTGAATTTGGGAACAGATTAAGTGCAACAGTTTTACAACCTAGAAAAATGTTCCTGAAAGCTATAGATTTTTATACTTAATCTAATCTAATCTTCTCCTCTGAAGCTTTCCTCTAGCTAATGGCACCAGTATTTCAATGATGTGTGGAACAACTGCTCCTGTAGAGCACAGAGGCAGAGCTCCTCTGAGGAGGCCAGTTCCTGCCTACCTTGTGCGGTGGTTTATGGCTGTAATCTCAGGCGAGCTTATTTTTTCTTGCTTTGTGGAACTTGCTTTAGTTGAATTCCTGGAGAATTCCGTTGAAAGCATTTAACCCAGAAGCTGCAGGACGTGGCTTTCACCTCGGTCGGAGCCGGCCCTGGCGCCTCCCTCCTCCACTAGCAGGGGTTTTTGGAAGCGAGGACCCAGCCGGTGTCTTTGCGTCCTGCTCGTCCAAAACAAGGAGGAATTGCAGCTCGGGGCCGGCGGTGCCGCCTTCCCGGGGATCCTGCTGCTGGCGGGAAGCTCGGAGCTGCGGAGCCGCTTCCAGAGCCCGGGAGGGATGCGCTGCCCGCCGCTCCGAGAGGAGAGGCTCTTGTTTTCCCTCTGGCCTGGGACCCGCGCACAGAATTGCTCAAGTCTCGCTGCATATGGCCTTGTTTTCCTGTTGCTCTTTTATTTTTATTACTGTTTTCTCCTCCTCCTTTTATAGAGCAGCCTGCCTTAATTATACTTACAGTAGATTGTCCAAAGTACATTACTTAAAGAGCAGTGTTTTGAATTGATTTACAGAGCTGCAGTTTAGCTTGACATTTTTATGTTTCACTGCTTATTTTTCTAATTACAGCTGAAAGGAAATTTCAGATAAGTATCATGCAATGTAGGAGCCAAAACCCCAAGGACAATGGGTTTGATGTTATATTCTTTGCTTGAATTAAGTGATCAGCTTTTCTCTCTAATTAATTAGGGGGGTTTGGAGCCTATTAAGGATGAAAGCAGTAATACCTACTCTAGCCTGCCAACCCCTGCTGTGCCAAGCACTGTCACAGAGGTATCGAGTTAGGTAAACACGAACTCCAAGAGAACATTGGCGTCATGCGTGTGAGGCTCCTGGTGTCTTCTGTTGGCCAGTGGGTGTTTGTGGTGGAGAAACTGGTGTGTCCCCAGGACAGACTCCTCTGTGTGGCCATGTGGGCACCCTCCTTTGCTCACTGCAGCCTGAACCCCTGAGGTCCTCTGTGTTTGACTCCTTTGGGAGCTGGCCACGGGACCAAGTCCACCACTTCTCACATCTTCTTTCATGGGTCGACTGGGAAGATACCTGGAAAAGAGCCATGGAAGCCCCTACCAACTTTTTAAATACATCTTCTGTAATATGTTTGTAGGGCAGTAATGTGGCTGGGCGTGCGTGGCTGCACAAGAGTTGGGTAGGAGGAGCCCCATGCAGAGAGGAGGCCACAGCTCACCTAGGAGCTGGTTTTCTGCTCATACCTGAGCTGGGAAGGCTGAAAGCGTTTCAGTGGCTGCACTGAGGTGAGGACAGGCGCCTGCCCCATCTGCCGTGATTCTGGTACCAAGTGGAGCTATCCAGCTTTCCACATTCAAGTGCAATGAGGATTTGCACAGAGAGTGCTCAGACACAGAGTCTGTAGCTTTCCTTTCTTACACGTCAGCAGTTACGTGAATCACTTCACCTTTCCTCTTCTTTTCCTAGTCCTTCCTCTTGAGAGTTGCACATAGCTTCAATCAGTCACTGCTGAGGATATAAATGATGGGGTTTTTTTCCCCATATAAGATTAACGACCCTCTGAATATCCTTGGAGAGTATATACTCCCTTTTCTCATTATGTGATATCTATGTGTACTGAGTAGCTGCTGCTCTTCATCAGTTTTGCTTTCATTGTAAATGTAAGTGATGGAGCTAGAAGCCAAGAACCCTCAACCTTAATTTTTAAATGTCGTGCTAAGATGTGTTGTTTTTCACAGCCCGCAAGCTTAAGAAGCTGGGCAACCTGAAGATCCAGGATGACTCGGAGGCAGGCGGCTCGTCCAGCCCCGCAGAGGAGCAAGCCCCCAAGATGGTGATGACGCACATCGATGGGTACGAGTGCCAGCCCATCTTCCTCAACGTGCTGGAGGCCATCGAGCCCGGCGTGGTGTGTGCTGGCCATGACAACAGCCAGCCCGACTCCTTCTCCAACCTGCTGACCAGCCTCAATGAGCTGGGCGAGAGGCAGCTGGTCTACGTGGTGAAGTGGGCAAAGGCCTTGCCAGGTGAGAGCACAAATTCACCAATTCACCTCTTTCTTGTTGCCTTCTGAGAGCTCCCTGCAGACCCCTTCATGTGTGTAGTTATAGTGTGGTTTTAATCCCTTCTCCTGGAGGAGAGGGTGATTTCGCTGTGTGAATCCAAAGTGTGAGGCTTCACAAAGCAAAATTGGGGAGCTGGAGCTGCTCGTCTCTAAGGCCTAGGTTTGAGTTGCTGCAAGGCTTAGTTGGACTGTCTGGCAACTCGGCAAAAGTTTCCATCCTTAAAATCTGAAGTCAATTAGTTCTTATAGAGTTACTTTACAGATGTCTTGACAAAGACATGTAAGCCCATTTGCTATTAAGTGGTTACATCTGTGTGTGTAATTGCAGTAAAAGCCTTTTCGTGATGTGCTCCCTGAGGCCGTGCTCCATGTGCCTCCTTGCTTTGCACCCGACCACAGCTGCAGAACTGTCCAAACCCATCCGTGTCACCCGCGCTTCCTACCTGCACAGCCCCAGGGACACAGGGGTTCCCGCCTGTGCTGGGAATGACAGGAAAACCCCCTTGCAGCTGCTGTTTGACCTGAGACCTCTAACACGGCCCCTTCCAAATGAGCATTTATTCAAGGGAGCTAATTCCATCCTCATTTCTTGATCTGCTTTTTCATATTTCAGTTGCTTTACTAATCCTTCTATAAACTTTCTTCTTTTCCCTCTTTTTTTAGCCGCATTTACTGTGTTCCCTTCCATCCAAAATCCTGGCTGCTTTTTCTTTGCCCCGTGTTTGCAGGGAGATGGGATGAGGAGCCTCTGAGGACCCTCGCTCAAGCCGCGCGGTTGCAGTAGGAGTGTGTCAGCCGCTGCAACCTGACGGTGGAGTTTGCCATGGGCAGAGGAGTCGCTCTGTACATCTGTATGCCTGTACCTCTGTACGCCTGTACCTCTGGAGATGTGTTTCTGTGCGCCGTGACGCCCGTTACGCAGTTCGCACAGAGCCGTCCGGCTGTAGGTACCGCCGCTGGTGCGGCTGTTCGCTGGTGCCGACCAGCGCTCGCCCAGGGTGTCGGCGGGTGCTCCTGTGCATCCAGCTCGTCCCAGGGAGCCCCGGGAGCGTCTGCTCCCGCTGGGAGCGCCGGCGGCCGCCCCGGGGTGCTGCTCGGGGCAGTCGCCCCTTCGGGTGCTCCGAGCACAGGGTCTTCTTCCTCTCTCTGCTGCTCTTGGCTTCATGGTTTTGTCTTTCCCCCTTCAGGTTCCGCTTTCCTTTCAGAATTCCCCAGTAGATTCCCCCTTTATATGTAAATACTTAATTACCATTTTGTACTTTTTTTGCTGTTCTTATAAGAGAGGGGTCTGAGATTTTCTTTTCTGCATAATTTTTTTTTCTGTTCTTGGGGAAACTCCCATGACCTTTGTGGTTTGTTGTCTTCCTCTACTCTAATTCTGAAATTCCTGTATTGCTCTTTTATTTTCTCTTCAAGAATCACTTCCCCTTCTCTTCTCCTCTCAAGTTGCCCTTCCCGAGGTTTTGCGGTGCTGGTTCAGACACACCTAAGAGAACAGATATATACCCTCTGGGCTGTACCAGAGAGACCACCCTCCGGGGGTGTCTGCCAGCCCCGCGGGTGGCTCGGGAAGCCTGCACAGATCCAGGGCCCACCCTGCATGGAAGGGGTTGTTCTCTCCTCTGTGGCCAAGTCAAGGCTGCAAGATTCCACATTTCCTCTGGAATTCCCTCCGGAAGTGCGAAGGGCAGTGTGAGTCTTCCTCTCACACTCGAGGACTAGCCTGGCACTAGCTAGAGCCAGCACTAGCCCGGCGCTGTCAGACATCCAGGTTTCTTTGGACGAGCCCTTTGCGACGCCCCCAGACCCGCTGCACGGCGGAGGGCCGAGGTTACCCAGCTATTAGGGAGAGTTTATACAAATAAAAGGATTTTGGGTATATGGGGAAAGCCACCTTGTGTCTGTGCTGCACAGGCACCCAGTGAAGGGGCAGTGCAGGGTATGTGCTGAGAATAGGGTCTCATCAATGGAGATGATCCGTTAGCAATTAGAGGTGCTGCAAAATCTCTACATCCTTTGCATGTAAATTAGGGCTTTAAGGATCTTTTGTTTACTTGGCTTTCTGCTTGGAATTTGCTACCTTATAGCATATGTAAGTCACGCTTTAACTCTAAGGATACAGTTAACTGAGACTCTTTTTCCATGCCTGGACAACAGAATTTCCAGAATACAAAAGGAGTATTCATTTTTATTAGAAATGTTACTTTGTGGTAGCACATGAGGTTTTAAATTGCTGACCTCCTAGGAATATGTCATTCTGACAAAGCAGGCTGCACACCAAGAGAAAAGATAAAGAACCTGTTTATAAACTGTGCTGCTTTAAGATTATTTGCAAGAAAATGGTTATACTTTCAGCTTTTTCAAATCATCAGAACATTTATTAATTTTAAATTTGCTATGACTTACTTCTGTAGGAGTTCAAACTATGCCAATACTAAAGGCTTAACTAGATATTATGGCATTAGATTTTTATCTGTTTTGTTTTACATTGATTTTGGTCATAGAATCGCTAAGATACCTGCAGAGGAGGATAGATTTCCAGGGAGAGATAGGCACCTGCTTTTCGAAAACTTTCCTTAAAGGCATTTTGGATCGAAAACTGAAATCAATGGTATCTTTTAGAAATGTCAGCCTCTGGGACCTGGTTTTTCGATGAGCAGAAAAACAAGCTCAAAAGTCCTTTAATCATAGACTGTTGCCTTCAAATACTTCTCAAAACACTGGTCAAGCTTGCTCAAATTTTATATTTTTTTCAGTGAACATAGTTACAAGCTAATGAGCAAGTGCATTTATGTGAAAGGTTATCTGCGGCTTTCAACAAATGCAGTGGTAGTCAATGAATTCCTCTTTGGCTGGATTTATTAGATATAAGTGTTAAAGGATTTTTATTGCCTATAGTAATTACATTATGAAACTAAATATGAATTTAATCAAATTATTGCAATTAAATATGAACATTTAAATGTGACATTTTAATTTTAAATTTTAAAATATGAGATATTAAATTACTGCAATTAAATATGAAATTCTAGCTTGGATTAGTCCTAGAAACGAGTGTGACTGACTTGTGGGGTCTTTGAGCCGTGCCGGTGCCCGCCGGTAGCGGTGCTCTGTGAACAGGTTCCCCTCTGGCTGCCCGAAGGTTCATGCGTGCTCAATGGGCAGCCTGGAGTCCTTAGAATGGAAAATTACCTACCCACCTTCAGAAGAGGGGCTTTGCACAGAGTGTTTATTTTTTCAGTCCAGTAGCATGAAAGCTGAAAGGAGAATGTGCAAACTTAAAGCAATTTTAGTCAGCAGCAAAAGTGGCTTGTGCTTGTTTGGAGCTGACAGCTTCCCAAGCAAGAGAGAGGCGCTTGCCACGAGAACTGGTGATTATCCACTGAAGGAGTTAGAATTGTTTTAAATGTGATTGATGGAGCACATAATTTTGTTGTAAATCAGATTATATTTGGCTACTTACAAATATCTGCAAATTTTTCTTAAAGTGCTCTCACAAAGGCCACTGTTTGTGGGCATGTTTGTGTGTGGGTTGTAAACATGCCTCTGATTGAGCTGTGAGCTGTCATCTGGAAACGCCGGTTTGAATTGAACTGGTACTTTGCTTTCGCTTGCAATTTGGCAGAGATATTTAATTATTCAACAGATAAATGTGATATGTACTATGTATAGGATAGGCAATCCAGAGACACTCACTTTGTGACAAGGCTTTGGGGTATTTATCGTGATGACTTTCAGCATTTTATATATGTTGAAATCCATTTGCCTTCTTTTGGTGAAGTCCTCAGCCGTTGACAAGAAAAGGAAGATTTTGAGCCGATTTCCCTGCGTGCCGGAATTTCGCCCAGGGGAGGGAATTGCCGTGTTTGTGCCCGGGCGGGCTGGCCCCGCTCCCCCAGCTCCGTTATTTGCACAGTGCAACAGATGGGCTTCAGCTCTTCATTTCTCTGGCTTTTCCCGTCCCATCTCACAGGGTAAATGTAAATGTTGTGAGCAGAGACTTCAGAGCTTGCTTTATGACTGCATAGGCTGAGGCACTCGACCCTCATTCCCCATTTCTAATTAGTACTTGTAGGACATAAGTGATGTTAAATAATAACTTGGTGCTGGAAGTGCTTAGGACCCTTAATTGCTCTGTTTTGCTGTGGCTTTTGGAAGTCGCTTCACATCCTGCTGGGTCTTCTGTGCATGTTGGGTTGCAGAACAAGACTTGTTCAATCTCACTGCGAAGCCTTCAAGTGCCATTTGTGAAATTCCTCGAGCCGTTGGGAGGAGATCTCAGCTCCGCATCCCTTTCCTCTCAAGGGCTTGGCTCCGTGTCACCTGTGCCTTATCTCCTTGCTCCGATCCCCTCTCCGTGCGGCGGTGCCGGCGGTGCGGGACAGCCGCGGTGGTGCCAGCCGCAGGTGTGGGGCACGCTGTGATACAGCCGTGGAGCCGGTGTCACCTGGACACGGTATCGGCTGCACGTGGCGCGGTTTGTAGCCTTGTTGTCTCTGTGTTCCAGGGTTCCGCAACCTGCACGTGGACGACCAGATGTCCATAATCCAGTACTCTTGGATGGGTCTCATGGTTTTTGCCATGGGGTGGAGATCTTTCACCAACGTCAATTCCAGGATGCTTTACTTCGCTCCAGATTTGGTCTTCAACGAGTAAGTGCCACCCAAGGGCAGCGCCGTGTTTTGTTCACCTGGGTCAGCTGGGCCAGCCTTGGGGAGGACAGGGAAGGCTCTGGGGTGGCCGAGGCCGGGGCGCTGGGTGCCCTTGCTCGAAGGCGGGTGTCGGGGATGCCGCTTCTCCCCATCGCGGATCAGCAGCGGGGTCGGGAGCAGCCGCTCCGGGACCCTCCCACTTGTGGAGAAAACCCTCTTACGGGTCAGTATGGGGCTAATTGCCCAGACGCTGCTTTGCCATTTGGAACAGAAGATCAGTTTGTGACGGCCGCACTCTGGTCTGACACGGGCTCAGCCTTGGGGAGGGTTTCTTGACACTGAGGTAGCAAGGGCTGAAGCAGCCGTGCGCCTGCCGGGCGCCCGGGCCGCATCTCACATCCCTTTCGGGCAGGTGGGTTAGTGGGGCCTGGCAGCGGCTTTCAGGAAGACAGGGATCCAATGAGCCTGGAGATGCCGGCAGCGGGATTCCGCGCTGCGGGACAGCCTCGGTGTGCGCGGGCAGCGCCGGCGAGCGGCAGCGTCCGCCAGCACCTCGTGTGTCTGCGCAGGTACCGCATGCACAAGTCCAGGATGTACAGCCAGTGCGTCAGGATGCGGCACCTCTCGCAGGAGTTCGGCTGGCTGCAGATCACGCCCCAGGAGTTCCTCTGCATGAAGGCGCTGCTCTTCTTCAGTATTAGTAAGTGCCGGGACCCCTCCCTGCCCTTTCCCTGCACGTGGCTCCGTGTCCTGCCCCGACTCCGCGTCCTGCCCCTTCCCCAGCTCCCTTGTTGCTCCCTGCTCTCATTCCTCCCTGCTCTCACAACGGTGACTGGTCCCTCTCCTTGCTCCGTTAAGTTCCCGTGGATGGCCTGAAGAACCAGAAGCTCTTTGATGAGCTTCGAATGAATTATATTAAGGAACTTGACCGCATCATTGCTTGCAAGAGGAAGAACCCGACGTCCTGCTCGCGGCGGTTCTACCAGCTCACCAAGGTCCTGGACTCCGTGCACCCGGTAAGAGCGTGCGGAGCCGGCTCCGCTGTGATCCCGCGGAGCGGGGCCTGGGAGAGCATGGGGACTCGCAGGGACGTTGGGAGGTGGCCTTGTAACTCCCGAACGTCTTAAATGGTGTTTATGACTTCCCACCTGTAAGGATTTTAGTGGCTTTCTTCTGTCACGGTGCACGTGTCCTGCTTATCTCCTGGGTGAAGCCCAGAGGCAGGTTTTGTCCTGATCATATTGAGATGCTCCTGTTAGTGAAAGAGCAAAGGAGACAAGTGTGCGGGAGCCTGCAGAAACGGCAGTCCTGCACCCAGGTCCTGTCACTGCCGGGGACCCGCGGAGCAGGCGGCCGGTGCCGCCGCCAGGGCCTGCGTGCGGGGAAGTGCCCGGAGCGGCTGGATTGAGCAGCAGAGGTGGATCCCGTCAAGAGCGGCTCGTTTCTCGCTGCTGCTCGTGCGTGTGCGCGGGAGGAGGAGCGGAGGCGACGCAGCCCCCGGCGCAGCCCCCAGCGCGGCCCTTTGCTGTTTATTGTGTTTGCAAGGGCAGCGCTGCACAAAAGAGGAAAAGACGGCGGCTGCCTCTGCTCAGGGGAGGACGGTCGCTGTGTCCCGCTGCTGGTAACACCCTCCTGGGCTTCTGCTTGCAGGTTTCCCTCTGGTGCTGTAAAAGCTCCCTTAGAGATGATTCCTGTCTGTTGGGCTTAGCCAGGTAGCCCAAAGGCTCAGTGTGTCCTAATGAACATAGGGGTCACTGAGCACTGGGACGGGTTGTCTAGCGGGGCTGCAGGCTCCACCCTTGCAGATAACTCGGCTGCACAAGGACCTGGGCTACCCTGCTTGGGCAGGTTGGATGAGCTCTGAGGATCCTATCTCAGCAGCTGTGCACATCTTCTCCGATTGCTTCAGGAAAAGCCTATTCCCTGTTGTGATTTACAGTTGTACCGGTGAAGGGTGACTTCCCTGGGTGCCGGGACTGGCTCCACAACTGTGCGTTGCAAGGAAAGGGTGGTTCTGAATAAGCAAACCCAGCAGCATCTCCCTACACGAGGACAAGTTTCTGTAGCAGGGGAAGTGCCCGTTTGCACAGTCTCTCTGTGTGAGAGCCTGTGCAGCCCTGTAGCCTCTCTCAGCCCACGTCTCCTCAGTACCTCTGCAGAGCAACCGCTTAACAGAGAGTTTGCACTTACTAGCGCTCCCTTTTTTTTCTAGATTGCCAAGGATCTGCATCAGTTTACATTTGACCTTTTGATTAAGGCACATATGGTCAGCGTGGACTACCCTGAAATGATGGCCGAGATCATCTCTGTGCAGGTTCCCAAGATCCTGTCTGGCAAAGTCAAGCCTATCTACTTCCACGCGCAGTGAGGTGCCGGAGGGACCCCCGTTCCGCCGCCCCCGTTTCAGCCCTGTCCTGCCTCTAGCTCTGCACTACTGCACTGTGGTGCCTTGGGCCGCGCCGGCCGGGGGCCGCGGTGCCCGCGGGCTGAGCGCCCCCACGACTCTGCTGGCCCGCCGCCCCGTTTACACCCTCGGGCTTGTGGTCCCCACGGTGACTTTTACTGGCCCCAGGCCACCGGCAATGACGGATTGGGAGAAATCCACCAGCTGTCCTTCAACTCATTTTGTTTCTCCTTGCTGCAGGACAATTCAAGGCAAGAAGCAGGTCGGACCTCTGGGCTTGGGTGTGGGTGACTTTTCTGGCCTCCCCTAGGACTTTTTTTTGCATCATGGTGCTGGGCGGCAGCTGAGAGTCGGTGTCGTGGTGGGGAAGCAGAGAGGGGTCGGGACTGGGGCCAAACCCTCCGGCGTGCGGGGCAGCGCGGTGCCCACCGTGCCGTGCTGTGTCATGCTGTGCCCAGCACCGTGCAGCACGGTGCCCGGGGAGCTCGGCACCGCGTCCCAGCTCCATGGCCGGACCCACCTCCACAAGTGCCTCAAGCGTCTCGAGCAGCGGCTGCGCCAGGATCCGCGCGTCCCAGTGCTGTGTCCGTGGCTCCCAGGGCTGCACTGGGGCCTCCTCCCCTCCTCGTGCCGCCCTTGCCCCCATTGCAGCCATGGGACATGGGGACATGGCCCCCCACGTGCACGAGGAGGCGCGGACAGCCCACGGCCACAGGACGTGTTTATTTGGTGGGTGCCCCCTGGTCCCGCTGCGTCTCGTGGCCCCGCTGCCACCCGTGGCGATCCCAGCGCGCAGTCCGGCTCATGCTGTTTTCCCCATGTCCGTCACGGCCCTGTGGGTGCCACCACCCTGCGGGTGCCACCCCGGTCACCACCGGCCTCGCGGGGCCCACATGTGCGGGGCGTCCTGCCCCGCTCCGGGACAGGCAGCGTCCTGGAGCGCCAGCCACGTCAGCGCCGATCCGGGAGCAGCTGCCGCTGCGGAGCCCTGCGCGCGTCCTGCTGTTCGTCTGCAGCGGAACCGCTCCAGGGCCCAGCGCCGCCGCGTAGCCCCCGGCCCTGCGGCTTGCCTGGCTGCCGCCGACTGCGCCACGGAGCGGGCTGACTGATAAAGCCCTGCGTTGGATTCTGATCCTGTCGAGAGCTGCTCCGGAGAGCGCTGCGCTTGGCACCAGCGCACGACAAAGGCGGCCTCAGTCGTTCCTGAGCGGAGACAACACGTGGGTGCCCTGTGCTGGGAGAGCGGAGAGAACATAAACACTAACCTAGGGTGAGAGCAGCGTGCCGAGGAGGAGCAGGAGGAGGAAGAGGCTGTCCTGTGTCATTGCCTGGTGAATGCAGCTCGAGCACCTCGTGTTGCCTCTCCAGCTGCGTTGGCATCGCGAAGGACACGGATGCTCATGTGGAGCCACCCGGACAGGGACACGAGCGCCCAGCTGTCCTGGAGCCCTGCAGGATTGGGTAGTGTCTCTGTCCTGCACTGTCAAAGGGAATTCTCATCATTTTTTTTTTAAACTCAATTTCTACCTTTTTATGATATTACTAGAGGAATTTATGGTGGAATTTGGGGGGCTAGGATCAGTAGCACCTCTGTGTGCGTTTGCTGTGCCGAGATTAACGTTCTCTTTCTGCCTATTTAATTTGGCTTCTGCAGAAACTGGAAAAAAAGACATAAGAAGCTCCAAAGTCCCGATCCTGCCATGTTCCTTTGTACTTTGTGTTTCCCTTTGCATTTCCATGCTTACTTTTGCTTTAATAAAGCAAATAGAGTCTCACCATCTACATAATGATGTAGATGTTGTCCCTCGCTGCGGGGCAGAGCCTGCTCTGAGCCCTCACCCTGCGGCTGGGGTGGCTGCCGCGGCCGGGGGCGCCAGGAGCCCCCATGGGAGGCTGCCCGGGGCCGCGTTTCACGAGGTTGCACCGGCAGGTGCCAAAGCAGCGAGTTTCGTGTAGCGGAGCCCTCCCGAGCTCGTCACCACCTCAACTTCACACCTCAGTCACAGGCATCCTCGGGCTTGGCGTGGGAAGAGCCAGGGCCCGGCCGAGGAGAGGAGGAGGAGGAGGAGGATGCTATCACTCACCAGCGTCACCGCGCTCTGTGCCCGTCCCTTAGATGTTGCAGTAACATCTACCTGCTCAAGGCATGTACAAGATACATCTCAGTTTATGCTGCTCCAGAAACCAGTTTGACACAAGGCTGTGAGAAAGGACTTGATGCTCCTAAATACTCAGCAGGAGGTGGCTCAGGACGAGGCAGGGGGCTTGGCAGCCTTGGGGTTTGTTCGATTCCAGCCAAGCTTCCAGGACGGGTCCTTGCACGGCTCGAGCTGTGGGGACAGCGACAGCGACACGGGGCTGGGGCCGGTCTGCCGCCTTCCTTGGGCTCCTGTGAGCGGGGCAGCGGCTGCGGCCCGGGCAGCGGCGCCCGGGTGAGGGCAGCGCCTGGAGCTGCCGCGCGGCTGCGCTCGGAGGAGCGGGAAGCTCCTGCTGGACACCCAAGTGCTGGCGCGGGGAGGAGCGGGACGGGGGGCGCGGGCTGGTCGGGGCTGCGCCATGGGACCGTGCGGGAGGACAGGGCCAGGGGACAGGGCCAGTGCTCAGGGAGCCGGCGGCTGCTCCTGCCCGGCGCGGATGGGCACATGGAACATGGAACCGCAGCCGATTTGCAACCAGCTGCTCTCTGGGCCGGGCATTTCATGTTCTGTGGCACGTTGAAGCTGCTTTTATTTGTTAACGTGTCTCTGTAATAAAAGACTTTATGCGGATATTTCTTTTCTCTGTAAGAAGCCAAAACTCTGGGTGCTGCTGCCGGTGGCCTGGCCCTGCTGACGGTGGCACTGTGCGTGGTGCCGGGGCAGCGGGGCCGGTGCAACCAGCCAGGTTGATACAGCCGATACAGGCGCTACAGCCGGCACAGCTGATACAGGCGGCACAGCCGGACACCGCAGCCCTGCAGCGCCCATGGCCAGGGCGAAGCCGTCGCCTTCCTCCGCGCGGCAGAGACAGGCCCTGCCCGGCTTTGCTGGCCCTGGCGCAGCCTTTTGCCCAAATTAACAGCATCTGAGGCCAAATTCTGCTGCTAGAGCATGACACGGGCCGGATCACGGCACGGACTCTCTGCTTTATCTTTTGGACCTGTGATCTAGCCCTCAGTCCAGGGAAAGAGGAAAATAAGAGAGGCCTGAAAGGCCAATGGGACCGGCGAGCAAGGGCATCCCGCTGCCCCGGCCGAGGGAAGGGGCCGGGGAGCCCCGGGACTGGGCAGCGCCCGCCTTGCTAAACACGGGCAGCCTCCCGGCACCAGGAGCAGGCGCCGCCCTGGGGCAATGTTCAGCTTGCGACTATTTAGTCCCGGCTTGGGGCCTGCACGGGCAGGGGGCTGGTGTGGAGCAGCCCTTCATGCTTGGTGGTCAGCTCTTTTGTAAACCTGACCTGTCGTTGCTCTCAGTACAATAAAAGGCAGAATCCTGTTTGTTGGGGCGCTGCTGTGTGCGTGTATTTGGCTTTTCTTTCAGTTACGTGCATGAAAAATGTTATCCAGTGTGACAAATACTAGCTATCGGAGATGCCAGGAATAATTGGGTCTTTTTTTTTTTCTCCAGTGGACAAGGCTGTATGTTGGGTTATTCATAGGCGATTTTTCACAGTCAAATTTTGCTATTAATCACCTGTCTGAACTGTTCATTCATTTACACATCAATTGACTAATCTTTTCAGATATGCCTCTTTGAGTCTTTTAAAATTGAATTTCATTTGATTAATGTATTTCTCAAAACAAGGAGCTAATAAAGGCCAGTGTCCTCCTCCTGTCGTGCTTGGTCGGTGTCATTGTGGGCCGTTACCAACCTGTTCTGCCGCAGCCCCGTTACGGACCGGCCCTGCTCTCTGCACAGCTCGTGTAGGACGCTGCTGTCAGCGCAGTTCTTAAAGCCCAGCTGTGCCCACTGCACAAAGCTGGGATGTGGTCAGTCCTAACTGAGACAAACCAAAGAGCTTGGAGGAGAAAGAAAATCCTCATCCTTCCCCATTAGCTGGAAATGCCTCGTGTGCATGTGCCAGCCCCTTGCAGCCTGTGCTCAGGCAGCCGTGTAGCAGGTAGGAACTGCTGTGCACGTGCAGCAGGACCGTCTCAGCCAGCTGCAGGGAAGCTGGCCCCAGGCCTTGGGGTCATAGCTAAAAATAAAGGTGTCGCTTTCAGAACGATCCTTAGTTGCAGTTTCCACGTGGAAGATGCAGCTGGTCAGTGCCAGCTGCCTGCGGACGCCCCTGCGGCGCAGAGGGCCGCCCGTGTCCCCGTGTCCCCGGCTCTGCGGCCCCACTTCGCTCCCTGGAGCTCCGCCGCGCTCCGGTCTCACAGCATTTGCCCATGGGAACAATGTGCCCATTTGTCACATGGGAACTGTGGCAAATAGTCCGTGTGTCCTGGGGGCTGGCAGGACCTGCCCCTCTGCTCCGGCTCCATGTGCAGGAAGCGCCAGCAGCCCCTTGGATCCCGCATGGCTGCGAGCAGGACCCCCTGCACGTGAGTGCACGTCCCTGTGCATGCGTGTCTGCATGCATGCACACATGTATGTGCGTGCCCATGTGTCTGCAAGCCCTCACATTGAAAGCTTTGCTCACGCCTGGTGCTCCTGAGCAGGAGCAGCTCCAAGCTCCATGAGGCTCCCAGACTGACAGACGTCCCCAGCAGGGCACGGACCCAGTGGCCTCTCGCCCACTGCTTCCCGGCGCTCCTGAGCCGCGGGTTCCTTGGTGGATAATTGCATGGAGCTCCCAGGCCACAGCGGCACCGGTGGCTCCCATCGGGTCACACTGACCGGGGGCTGTGACCCAGTCCCAGCTTGTCCCTGTCCCAAAGTGCTGCGGCCGGCAGCTTCCTCCAGCCACCCAAGAGCGTAAGGAAAACAAAAGCACTGCGGAGTTCATTGCTTCATGCCGTGCTGGCTGGGAAGCCCCTCTCAAGATGGTTTCTGCAGCAGCCCTGGTTCAGGGGCACAGATGCTGCTGCTCTCTGGCGCTATGCGTCCTGGTCCCTTGCGGGGCCTGGCCGCAGCCCCCCCGTGCTGGGCCTGGCCTGGTCCCTTGCTGAAGAACTGATGGTGGAAAAGACATTTTTCCTGCTCACACTAAACGCAAACACTCGGTGCCGGGGTTGCCCGGCTGTGTCCCTGTGCTGGAGCCGCCACCTCCATCCCTGTGCTGGAGCCGCCACCTCCATCCCTGTGCTTGGAGCCGCCACCTCCCTGGGGACAGAGCCGCCCTGGAGCCAGTAGCCCCGCTCGCCGCAGGCCGCAGGGACGGAGCTGGCTCTGTGTCCATGGCCACAGTCACAGTCACCACGTGGTCACGGCCACGCAGCTCTGCTTGGCACCCGAGCGCACACCGGCCACGCGGGAAGCACCCGCCACGGAGCCGGCGCTGCCAGCCGGATGAGCACCGGGCTGCCGGGAAGGGCTCCCAGTGCCCCGGGAAGCACTAGGAACAGAGGTGTCCGCAGCCGGTGGCAGTGCAGGAAAGCAGCTCGTTGCCCGCAGGCAGGGAAACAGGGCCCTGAGCTCGGGGTGCCAGCAGCCCCGGAGAAGCCTCCGCCGCTACCAGCGCCACTGGGAAGGGGCTGGAGGAGCCCCGAGCACGACGGGCAGCACCAGGAGGCTGCGGGGGGAGCCCGGGCAGTGAACAGCGGCTGCTTGGAAACGCGGTGGGATCCGACCCCCGCCGAGCGGGTCCACGTGCCCCACGCGCTCCCTGCGCTCCCGGGTCACACACAGCCGCGTTCCCGGCCTGCGGGAGAGCGCAGCACCGGCTGCAGGGACACGAGAGAATCCCCACGACGCCCGACACGACGACCTCGCTCCCCAGGCCCTCCCCCGCCTGCCGTCGCACAAGCGGCATTTCCAATAACGGGTACTACTACGGACTTCAACACTGAAAAAAACACTTTACAGCTTACTCAGCAAGGAGAACATAACATAGTGGAAGGAGCTTCCCATGACAAGGGGGCCAACCCAAACTTTGGTCCATTGCATCCCTGCATGCAAGCACTGGGAACTAGCTCCTTGCCTGTTGACTGCAGTGTCAGTCCACGATGCCCCCCTGCCAAGGCAGATTTCACACAGGAGCAGCTAAAGGCTGCTCTCGTCCTCTGCTGTCCCTTCCAGGCCCACGGATGTCCTCTGGCGGCTCTCACCCAACAGTGCCAATCCTGCTGGACACCTGCGAGGGCAAATGAGCATCCTTTACACATGGCCTGTGTACTCGGGAATGTTGGAAGGGCTGTGAACAGTTCAAAACAAATGAGTAGGGTAGGGTCTTCTCTCCATTTTTATCTCCCTGTCTTCTAATTTCTTGAGCTGCTAACGACAGCATGCTCTGAAATTATCGTCCGGTAACATAGCTGCTCTCCAGGGTCATATGATCTGGAAAAATCTTAGCTGCGAGATGTCCTTTTCAGAAGCACAGAAAGTCTCCTGGGTCCAGCCGGGCTTCGGCGGTTAAACAGTCTGAAAGAAGGAAACAACAAAGGCAGGGAACGGGGTGAATTCCTCCGACAGCAAAGCCAGATTTCAGCTCCCGGGTTTTCAGTGTGCTCGTGCTGAGCCCGGCTCCCACGATGCTCTCAGGGAGCAGCAGGAGGGCGCCGGGACGGGCCCGTTTGCTCCATCCTGGCCCACATGGAGAGAAGGGGCCCGCCTGGTTGCACCTCTCCTTGGCAGGCCTCTCCTCCAGCAAGGAAGTTTCTCCTGCTCTTTCTGGAGACGCACGATGCTGCCAGCCTGCTCCCACCACCCGCCGTGTTGCACTCATGCTAAATGTGTGTGTTAGCTGATTATGGCCTTAAACACATACCTTTAACCTCAGCTGTCATCACCTGGGAGCCTGCCTTGTGGTGATGAAGAGCTGTGCAAAAGGTGGCAGAAGAGAGAAAAAAAGTTAATGCAAGGAGCAAGTCTAAACTCCGCCTGTGAATCTAAATAGAGGAAGGGGGAAGCAGTTGGGTCAGTGATGTTTTTTCAGCATGTCAGGGGAAGAAATCACTATTGGCACTAGGAGATACTCACTATTGAGCAGCCTTTCAAAGACTCGCATGCAAAGACCTGCTTGCACCTTGGGCAGAGCTTTAGGAGGAGGGCACTGCAGCGCATTTGCTCTAGGTGACCCTGCTTGAGCAGGAGGGTGGCACTAGATGGTCTGCAAGGGTCCCTTCCAACCCCAACCAGTCGGTTACTCTGCTTTGAGCAGATACTATCATAAACAAATACCACAGTGCATGTGCTCCCAGCCTAGCCTGAAGGGCTAACATTGATGCCAATGTTTCACGTATTACACCAAAATTTCACATAATTCAATTTTTTCACATAAAATAATATCAACATATCAACACACATTTCAAAATAATACACATTATGTGTCAGTCTGTTCTTGTATCTAGGGATGGCCCTGCAGTCTTTGATCTTCTTCCTCTCTGCCCTTCACAAAGGCAGAGAAAGCAGCGCACTGTGCACCACACTAACTTGGATCCGCACACCTGATCAGATGAATCCACAGATAGGTTTATAACCTAGCAGACCATATTCTAATTACAAAAACTGTATCAGAACTTATATTCTGTACCTTGAGCTCTTTGTTTAGCTCCAGGGGTTTAGCTGAGCCCTATCTTCTACCCAAGAATGCTACAGACAAGAAAGGAGAGTGTGGGGCTTCCTGAAACAACCAGCTCTGCTGGGAGGGAGGATCACCCTATACAGAGGCCCTATTCTTACTGGCAAGTCCTAGTTTCGGGTGTCTTACTTGCTGGTTCTTCGGGACGCCGTCTCAAAGAACTTTGTCCTAGAGGCCACTCTGTAAACAGAATCAGGAGATCATGTCAGCTGTCTGATGATAATGTAATTTGCTAGTTAGACACTATTTATGTTGAGAAAGAGAGCAGTGCCATTAGAAGACATTGAAAACAGTTGCCCATCACTTTCTAAGCATCTGCTTTCTGGCTGCTGCAGCTAGCAGGCTGCTCTCAATCCCATTTTGCTCCCCGCTTGCCCAGTTCAGACCAGTGCCAGCCCTTGGCCGCTGCCTCGGGCAGGATTGCCAGGGTTTGTGGGGACCCTGTGAGGCAACGGGCAGCTCGAGCCCTCTGCAGCGTGGCAGGAATGACGTGGAATGGAAATCCCCATGTGGGGCGACACACTGAGCAGTGAGCTCGGCAACCAGACCCATGCTGCAGCCTCCCACGCCCGTCCTAGGCTCTGTGCTGATAACCTGCAATACGTGGCCACCTTTTTCACTCCCACTGCAGCCAGAACGTTTGACGTGTTTAAGAACTGAAGGAAACCTCCTCCAAGCGGGTCAGGCCTCTTTAGAGAAGCACTTCACTTGGGAAGCCCCGCGCGGCGCCGCTCACTCACACGGACGGCGGCGGCTCCTCCGCGCCTGCCGCGAGCACCTCGGCCTTCTGCTCCGGCCTCGGCGCCACAGGCATCCTGCTCGGCGGGTCCGGGGGTCTCACGGGCGGCCGCGTTATGGCGGGCCGGTCGCCGAGGCCGCGCGGCTTGGCGGGGCCGTCGCACTCGCCTGCGGGGAGAGCAGCGCGCCGTGTCGGGGGGCTCGGCGCGGGCACCGGCCCCTCGGCGGCGCAGCCCAGGCCGGCGGCTCCGGCGGCCGCTCCTGCGGGAGCCTCTTCCACAGCGGCCACACATTCGGCACAGGGAGGGAGCGACAAGGCCGGTCCCGTTCTCCCTGTCCCGGCACAGCCCTTCCCAACACAGGAGAGGAGCTGATACAGGACCCTATTAATGAAAAACTGGCAATATTTGCTGCTTGTAAATATATCGTGTGGGAACTACGCGTTTCCTTAATCAAAACCTGTGCACTCTTCAAAAGCAAAGGAAATGGCCCAAACAGGAGATGACTGCAGTGCCTGGATCCCGCTCCTCAAGCTTCTGCTTCAGGACTGCCCTTCTGCCCCACGCTCTCTCTGGGCTCTTCTCTCAGAAGTACGTGGTCTGGCTGCCTTCCCCCCAAGGACCCAGCTGACCTCATTATTCTCTTAATGCTTGATGACTTTGATCATTCAAGCTCTGACATCTCTAATGACCTCACTTTTCTTCCACTGTTCAATACTCCAGAGAGTGTTTCCATATGAGAGCAATTATTGTGATCTTCTAGTATGACCCTTTATATAATCCAGAAACATCTTAACGCTTGGGATATTTCCCTTCTGACTTAGGCATTTCCACTGCTAGGGAGTCCTGTTTCTGATAAAAATAAGTCAAAAAATGTTTTAGATGGAAGATAATTAATTTTTGCAATGACTTACGCAAGACCATGTCAACCCTTTAGTTACTGATCCACTTTGGTCGACTAGCTTAAAGATCTGTTCTTAGCTAAATCTCCTCTATCTGTAAATCCAGAACCTAAATTTTCCCTTTGATAAGCTGCTCTTTGCATTTCCCAGTAAAAGGCCTGTTTCTAATCCTTCAGCTTATGGATTTTCTTGTGTTGTCCCACTTTCAAAACTATCCCAAAGTGCGGATGCTAGAGCTCAATATAGTGTTTTAGCTCTAATTTGCAAATATCAATATACATGCAATGTAACTTTATGGCTAATTCTGTGTTCACTTATTTATATGTTCAATATCAGAGCCAATTTTATCACAATGTCTCCAGGACATGTAGTCAGCATGTTATAGAGTATAAACATAAAATTTTAAGTGCTAAAAGCAGCTGATGTATAAGCCCGCTTTAAAAGCTGTCTTACTATTCCAAAAGAAAATTTCTACTTATCATTTATGTGAAAAATTTAAATTAAGCCAGTACTATTAGTCAGAATTTTATGAATTTTATATCCATGCTACTTAGCCAAGACTTTTATTCTTTTTCTTTATTGTACCCAAGAGACATTTGTGAAAAATGCAGCCCAATATTTATTTTCTAAGTGCAGGACCATAAAGCCTGTTAGAATATGAAAATATGTAAAAAGCACTGGAAAGGGAATGGAAAAAGCTGGCAAATTCCAGAAAATAATACATCTTCTTTATCACCCTCGTCCTGGGTACATTATAAAACTCAGCAGCAACACATGATGCTGCAGCAATGCATCCGATCCAGCCAACTGCTTCCTGCCCTCGCAAAGGGGGAATTCTGTAAACACGCAAGTACGCATGTGCATTCCTCCGTGGAAAAGGAGGAGGACAATTCAAAGTTATTAAAGCAAAAATTATCACTTATACTTAATAAAAAGGGCAAACTACTGAAATTGAAGTAAAGCTCCCCCGAGAGCCTTAATAAGCCAGACACTGTGTCTGATGGCGTCAAGGAGCCGACAGAGAAACCGCTCAGAAATCACAGTGTGGAAGCGGCTTTTGCCACTTTGCTGCGCGTGCCGCAGGAGGAGCCGGGCGCGCAGGAAGCGCCGAGCGCCGCGGCCCGTGTGAGCCGTGCCGTGCGAGTGGGCACGGGGGCTCCGGCCGCGCGGCATTCACTCACCGTCGCGCGCGGGCCGCGGCGCGGGCCGC